AAGGAGCGGATACAAGCTTTATTCAATGAGGTTGATCAGAAAAGAATCCTAAGCATACCTATTAGTAGTATGGACCAGGCAGATAGCTTCTGGTGGAAAGGGGAGAATAATGGGTTTTTTTCAGTCAAAAGTTGCTACAGATTGCAAATGGGTGATATCAGGAAGTGGATACAAACGGGTGGAAGCAGCTGTGGAAATCTAAGGTACCTCCTAAATTCAAATATTTTGTTTGGCAGGTTTTAGATGGATCGATACCAACGGTGGATAATCTCCGTCGAAGAGGATTAATTATTCAGAACGGATGCAAATTATGTGATAATCAGACAGAATCACTAGAGCATGCTTTCCGGAGCTGCATATGGGTGAAATCCGTGTGGCAGGCAGCAGACTTTAGTCTGGAGGAGGGTCGGCCGATCAAGGAGTGGCTGAAGAACAATATCTCGACAGGAGATGAAGAATGAAGGGGCGGATTTATTTCGACTTTATGGAGTTTATGGAAACGGAGAAATAACGCGGTATGGAAAGACCAGAGGCAGGATGAGACTAGCGTTATAAATGGAGCGGCTAGGATGCTTGCCAGCTGGAGGGATGCTCCAAGGCATTAACAAATTTAATACAGACAAGAGAGGGAAGGAGGTAGAGAGATGGCGGAGGCCGCTGACCGGGGTTATAAAAATTAATGTGGATGGAGCTGTTAATGAATATGGCGGAATCCGAGCTTGGGGTTGGGTGGCTAGAGATGATAACATGAATTTTTTAAAGGTGAAAGGGGGTTCAGCCGTGGCTTCATGGACTGCAGCTAAGACGGAGGCAATGGGGCTGAAGGAAGCAATTGTGGGAGCAATGGAGGAAGGATGGGATAGAGTGGAGCTTGAAACGGATGCCATGACAGTGGTTAAAGGCGTTCATGCTGGGGAGGAGCTTATTATTTACATATTATCATTGACTATATTAGGAGGGTGTTGGAAATGAAGAGTAATTTTCTTATGTTTTTTTGTAAATGATTTGCGAATAGTGTTGCATATTGATACACTTGTAATTTCCATTTGTATGTTTGTGTTTTTAATTAGTTTTGATTGATTTTTACTTTGGAAATTACACACTTTTGGTGTAATAGTTTAGTTTGTTAAATTCTTGTAAATTGTTCAGATTAGGTTTATTCTGAGCTCAAGCAAGTCTTGATCAACTCAAAGGACAGTTGGTGAAACCCAAAAGTTGAAGGAAGGTGCAAAAATCAAAAGAAAGAAGATCCTGATTTTTTTTGTCTATACCCGGTCGAGTATGACCTATACTCGATTGGGTATCTTGTTGAAATCTCAAATCGGATCAGATCCAAAGACAAAGGATCATGCAGAGAAGATTCGGACCACAATCGAATGTCCATACCCGATCGGGTACACCGACACACCCGATCGGGTATCCCTTCAAATACAAACCCGAACTCGGTCGAGTATGCCCCGGATCTGAAGTTATAAGCATACTCGACCGGGTACAAAGGTATACTAGATCGGGTATGCTTATAAAATTTTCCCTTTAATCGATCGAGTATACCTCGAATTTGAGGTATTACACATACCCGATCGGGTACCTTGCATATACCCGATCGGTACCCGAGCTGCATCTCAAAAGCCTATAAATACACCCCCTTTCCTTCACAATTAGACATCTAATTCCTTTATACATCTAAGCTCAATCTAGAATAGTTTTTTTCCTTTATACTTTTCATCATGTTTAGTCTCCAAATGAGGAGCTAAACTCTTCCATCTTGGTTTTGCTACTTTGAAGCTTAATGAATTTGTAAGTTGTGAGTTATTTTCTTTAATCTTCTTCCTTGAATATTAATTTTTCCTTTAAAATACTATTTCTATATCAAAGTTGGGGAGTGTTACTAAGATGACAATTAGTTAACATCTTGACATTGGTTATAGTAATAGTTATTTCTTCCTCTATGTTAATATTGAGGAGTGTTACTAAGATGACAATTAGTTAACATCTTGATATTAATTATAGTAGGATTCATATTCTTTAATATTCTTCCTTGAGTATTAATTAATTCCTATTCACATTTCATGTTAATATTTAGAACATTACTTAAAGTATCAACTAGTTTTGTTTCTTATATTAATTATTACTAGAATCAATCGGTTAATACGCTTGTTATTGATCCGGTTCTTTCAACAGTAGTAAACTTGGATTATTAATGCATGCATCTCATGGTTAATATGCCAAAGGGAATTAATTATATTGATTAAACCAATAAACCGCTTGTGTTGAGGTTATCAATCTCAATCGTTTTCATCTTAAGTTTATTGCTACTATCAAGTTAATATACGGCGCTTGTTCTATATTGACTCGATAGTAAGTTTTATTAATGAACGCATCTCATTATTAATAACTACCCTCGATGAACTGGATATACTCCTCGATTGAGTATTCGAGAGGAACATAGTTAAAGATATAACCGGGATCGACAAACATTTATTAAGTGGATAAAAGCAAAACCAAGTCCTCATCTCTATTAATTAAACCACATAAGTCGTTTATCTTAGTGTTAATTAAATTAAATTAAATCAAACTCAACCCCCCCTTGTTACTCCTTATATAAAAGAAAAGTATTCCTTTCCCTGTGGATACGAACCTTACTTCATTATACTACGTATAATCGTTGTATTGTATTTATTTTGAGTGCACCTCACGACAAGTGCAAGTCACATATGCACTTGCAAGAGCACACGTTAACCTCTCAGATCAGGATTGTAGTAATGACACTGTTTCGGCTTGTATTTCTAGCCATGTGGCTAATGACTTGTTGAGTTAATAAGATTTGTTGAAATTGATGATAAAAAAACAACATAAGAATCTAAACACGGACGCCCTGGGGCTTCTCGCCTCTTGTGCAAGTTTTTGTTGTTCCCTTAGTGCTCTGGAATTGAATTTTGCAAGCAAACATAATGGCCAAGGACGTGTATCACAAAAGTAGTGCAATCACATGAATGGAGATGACTTCACGAGTAGCGTTGCCGTCAAGTTGCGATGGAAGAGGTGGATGGACAGGAATGGAAGTAGATCAATTGATAGATGTTCAGAAGCGACTTCAGGGGTGGAAGAAGCACGGAAAAGGGGACCAATTTGAGTTCACGAGTACCGTTGCAGTCAAATGATTTTCTGAAATGTAATGCGTTGTTTAACTACGCGGTTATCTTCAAAAATTCATTTGACTGCCTTCTCGATTAAATGTTTAGCTGAAATTTGTTATAGGTAAACTAGACTTAATGAAGAAGATGCTCAAAAAATTCCATAGGGAATCCCCCAAATGGCGACGGCCGGACAGAGCTTCTTATATAAGGGGTGATTTGCACTTTTTAAAGTTAGTTCGAGGGCCTATTTGACCCTTTTCCCTTCTTTATATCACTGGGGTCCACGACCCATTCATACTATCATAATAGCATCGCCTAGATCAACATTAATATCTTAAACACTTAGAATACCACAGGTGGTCCCCGTTCCTGATGTGAGTCCCACGTGTAGTTTTATTACACAATAAAAGTTAATTAGTAAAAATAAATTTACCGCACCTTTTATCAAGGTGCCAAGTCTAATTTACCCAACGTTATGTGTGAACATTTTCGGAGTGATTTTACGCCTACTCCTCTACGTGGATCCCACGTCTGATTAATAGCCCATTATTAATTTACGATAAGAATTTTATCTTTCTCATTTGTCAAGACTACTCTTAGTCTTGATTTACCTTCTTTAACCATGTACTTGATGGATTTTTTTCTCTGGGTAAAAAATCGGGTTGAGTGTTACAAACGAAGCGTTGACCGTCGGCAGACGATGGATCGGCGTCGGCCAGAGGCTGGAAGCGGCACCAGTTGGCTACTTCCATACCATTTCACATTTTTCCGGGTGAACCAACGCCGGTCAGACAGTGAACCGACGCCGATTCGGGTCGGGTTTTGGGTCCGGTTTTTGATAAAATGCAATTCGGGGCTCAGTTCAAGGTAGAACTGACCCCGACCATCCTGTATATGTATATTTTGCATGGTATTGCATGTAATATGATGCTTAAATGCTAATGCTTGATATATGATGATTAAATGCTAAATCTTTGATTAGTCGTTAGTAATGATATGATGTAGACCAGAACCGAGGTAAGGTATATGGTAGATCATAGGTTCGGGTGGAGTACCATGGGCTTGGCGGTGTCCTCAAAACTCATAGACTCAGGTGGAGTACCCAGGGGCCATGCGGTGTCCTCAAAACTCATAGGTTCGGGTGGAGTATCCAAGGATCAGACGGTGTTCTCAAAACTCGGTATTACAGGTGGAGTACCCCGAGGACCGAGCGATGTCCTCAAAACTCGGTTATTATGTGTGGAGCACCCAGGGATCGGGCGGTGTCCTCAAAACTCGGATATTTGGGGTGAAGTACCCAAGGCCGGGCACGTCCTAAAACTTGTTATTACCGAAGAGTGGCCCAGTGGCCGAGTAAGGCTATCGACACTCGAATGTATTGGTTAAAATAATTGGTCAAAATTTACTATCTTTGACTGGAAAAATCAAAGTTTCAAAGATGACTAAGTAAATTGGGACGAAGATAGTATGTATTCGAGTCACATAATAGTGTTGCACTAAGTGTTACTACATGTGTCTCATAAGACTTCATCAACTTTCATTTTTTGTCCGTTACAATTAAAGAATTGTGATTCACAACATTTCTTAGACATTTCTCTCTCCTCTGCACAACTTTTCACTACACAATATTCATTATCTTAAATTGTGTGTCAAATTTATTTGGAAGATAAAATAGGAATGAAGGGACTAACAAGTACTCCGTATATGACTAAAGTTATTTATGTTCTTGAACAAATATCTTTTGAGACCGTTTAAAAGTAATTTTAGAATCCATTATCATTTAATTGGAAATATGAAATCAAGACAAAATCACTATAAATCGGGACCCAGATTGGACCGCCGGATATGAGATTAATTTCCAACCCCTACTTTGTGCACACAATCTATAGAGTGAAGCGCCAAGCGCACGGATTGAAATTAACTCAAAAAGTTATCACCCTTCTTTTTTACCCTTTGAATACGTACCTTTTCCTTTTCAAACTTAAAAATAGATTAACATCTACGTAGTAAAATGTTTCCCGAAACCCCAAAACAAGAACAGTCCCACATAACAGAGACTTCAACCATGGATGCCGCTCCTCCTCTCTCCTCTTCAGCTGCTTTATTCTTCCCGGTATGCCCTAATTCCCTTTTGATTTAGTGGTCATTCATATCTGGGTCTCAATCCTTTTTCCCATCGTTTCAGATCTCTATTTAGTATTCGTTTTTCGAGAAAAAAACTTTTTTCATCAATTTCATCTTTTGGCTTTATACTGTATATATACTGTATTTTATATGTAGTGCGATGGTGATGAGTCGGTCTTTTGACCAGAAAAAAGAGAAGATTAGATAGATAGAGAGAGAGAATAAAGGATCGCTCCCTTGAAAGCGAGCATTGTCTTCGTTGTTCACTGATATTGTCAATGAAAGCGAGATACTTATTATTACTTCCACTGCAACTGTTATTTTCCATTTCATCACATATATCTGCAATTTTGGTGTTGCAGAAATCGCTTAGATTTGTTCTCTCAGTATAATTAGGGTGATTCACAATGCCTATGTATCTACCCTCGGGGAGGGGTGGTGCGGTTGATTTCGAAGGTGGCGGCGATGCCCATGTTCTAGATCTGGACACGGCGGTCAAAGACGGGGTCTTGGGCGGCGGCGGCGGCGGTTTTGCCGCGCCGGTCGAGTTTTTGGAGAAAATGGATCTGAAGAAGGTGATTAGGGAGCTGAATTTGTCGGAGATTCCGACCGTGTTCATATGCCCCATCTCTCTCGAACCCATGCAAGACCCAGTGACCCTTTGCACCGGTCAGACTTACGAGCGGTCCAACATCCTCAAATGGTTCAGCTTAGGTCACTGCACTTGCCCCACAACCATGCAGGAGCTTTGGGATTACACAGTGACTCCAAACAAGACCCTTCATCATCTGATCTGTTCTTGGTTTCTCCAGAAGCACCAGCAGATGAAGAAGAAATCAGAGGATGTATCTGGAAGGGCAATGGAGATTCTTGAAACTTTGAAGAAAGTCAAAGGCCAGTCAAGGCTCCAGTCCCTCAAGGACCTGCAACAAGTTGTTTCATCCCATACTACTTCCAGAAAGACAGTGGTTGATCAAGGTGGGGCCCCACTTCTTTCCTCATTACTAGGTCCTTTCACTTCCCATGCTGTTGGCTCAACAGTTGTTGCCATTCTTGTTCATCTGAGTCTTGACTCTGAATCAAGAAAAAATCTAATGGAACCTTCCAAGATTTCTTTACTTGTTGATATGTTAAATGAAGGCTCTACAGAAACTAAAATAAACTGCACTCGATTAATCAAACTGTTAATGGAGGGCAGTGATTTCCGGATAGAGATCGTGTCAAGTCACAGTTTATTAGTTGCTCTGATGAGGCTGGCGAGGGATAAACGGAATCCATCTGTCCACGTACACGGGCTTAGCCTTCTCGGACTCATTTGCTCACATGAGCAAGTAAAAACCCTGGTCATTAGAATCGGGGTGATTCCTCAATTGGTTGAGTTGTTGCCCGGAATGAAACCCGATTGTTTAGAAATTGCACTGTTTGTTCTGGACGCCTTATCTTCAGTGCCTGAAGGCAGATTGGGCTTGAAGGACTGCCCAAACGGAATAAGGACGATGGTGAAACTGCTTATGAAGGTGTCCGAGAGGTGTACACAGTATGCTCTCTCAATCTTGTGGTCTGTGTGTAAAGTGGGGTCTGAGGAGTGTTCGTTGGTTGCTGTGGAAGCCGGGCTTCCCACAAAACTGTTGCTTGTCATACAGAGCGGGTGCAGTCCGGTGTTAAAGCAGCGATCATCTGAGTTATTGAAGCTTTGCAGTTTGAATTATTCTGATACCATGTTCATATCCAAGTGCAGACTTAATCGGACGATCCACTGAAAGCGGTGGACCGTTCAGTTTGGGTAAAAAAGAATCCAATCCTGCGTACATATATCCAGTTTAGAGTAAAAATGTGTAGTGAAGTGCTTGAAAGTTGAAACAGTGAAATGGCCTCTTTGAAAAGTTATGTTTATTACTGTTATACACCATCAATGGACACCAGCAAGGGATTTCCTGCTGCAAGTTTTGAATAAATGGTGAAAGTAAATTCATTGGCTTTGTTTCAGACCCTTACCACCATTCACACCCTTCTAGGAAAAATGTCTTACCTTGTAAATGAATCTTGGGAGAAAATGGTTCAAACTTTTACTGCATTCTTTGGGGATTGCAATTGAAATTGTAATTTGCTAACCTCTTTGCTTTGTTCCTTGTGTAATGCAGAAAAACACCTACAGTTTTCCCATTTGAATGTTTTCCAACTACCAAACGTGGCCTAAGATAAATATCAATTCATCTCAAGCAGTCAAACAGTACATTTAAATCAATTTATTACTATTAAAATAAGCCAATCCAATTCAAACTGTTGGATCAAATCAAATTAATGAGTGCCATAGGGGAGGCAGCTTATTACAAAGAAATGAGATGTATAGGCTTCAGTTTGTGCAGAGTTATGCTATATTTGGAGTGATATGGAGATAGGGTAAGAATGAGTTGGTGTGTACTTTGGTTTTTAACCCTTTTGTGGTGACTGGTGAGTATTGAGGACAAGACTAGTCTAACACTTGGTCAGTGCTGAAATGAAAAAAAAAAAGAAATGGCTGACCTGACTTTAGATAGCCTTCTTTGTCTTGGTGTGTTTATTTGACAGTGGTGTGCAATAGTGGAGGATTCAGAAAAACAAGTGACCCCCCACCCCTGCCTGTCCTGCTGCCTTAAATTAGCTGTATGCCTGTTTCATTCCATCTAATTTTCTACTCATAAAAAAATATTTCCAGCTCCTATTTAGTTAAGGACACATTTATTTTACATCTAATTTCTATGTTTCTAAATGCATGATTTTGTTTATATATACCATATACGGAGTATCTTACTGCGGATTAGATATTAGTGAAAATAGTATTGTACTTATATGTACTTTTATTTTTTCTCTATATTATTTTGCTAAAAATAAGATTAAAAAACATTACAACACAAAAGAAATTATAACCTTTAGTTTTTTTTAAATGAATTACATTTAGAGCTCATTTGGTAATTCTGAAATCGGCTGAATCGGCTGTTTCTGCTGATATTTATGAAAATCTGGTTGAAGTGGTTATATTGGTTGATTCTGCTGAATCGTAGTATATAAAATACGGAGTATATTTTATTAATAAAATAAAGAAAAAATTATATTAAAAAATAGTTGAAATGATCCTCTACGGTAACTTCAATCAATAAAGCCAAAACGTAAATTCAGCCTTACTTTTTCTTATTATTACACAATTCAGCGTCCGAAATCAAAAGTAAGTATTTGATGAAAAAGTTGTGTGATGAGTCGGAAAACAGACTCACCAAACGGGTTGTGCTTTTTTTTCATAATATGTGCTACTTGTTAATACTCCGTATTTAATAAAATTCCATCTTTTTAATTCATAATATTAAAAGTTACGTATAAGGAATAAATTGCACTGATGATAGTAAAAGAATTACTAATACAGAATACATTTCATTCATTTTGACATTCGTGTGAGATTGCACTTGATAAACATAAACTGTTGATTGATACGGACTACGGAGTACTTCTGATGTTCAATAATTTGGCATCAGAAACAAATTACTACCGAGTATAGTTTCATTTGTAATTAATAACCATCTTTCAAGCCCGTTCAACTAATTTAGGCTATTTAGCTAATTTGAAATTTAATTTCTATCGAATCACATATAATGTGATTTAAAAGAAAAATAAACGTAGTCTAATATAGAGTCTATTTGATAATACTAAAGTAAATAGAATTAACTTATTTTGCTGAAATTGATTGAATTCTGGTTAAATAGGTGGAATGTTCTGAATAATGAAAAATATATGTGAAATATATTCCATTTGTGAAATAAAGAAAAAAATATACGAAAAAAAGTTAAATTGGTCTTATACATAAGCATCTCAAGTAAACATAATTGTTATGAACCCAATAATAAAAAAAACTATATTTCTTAATTGTTAGATCTTACAGTTTACTCATTAATAAGAACGTTTTTAATTGAATTAAAATTTCGGGTTTGATTTGGTATGAATTAATATGGTCTATTAGATGTCTGTTTTTTATGTGACTTATTGTTATAATTATTAAAGTTTGATTTGATCTGATTTAATCTGGAACTGAAATCAATCCAATTAAAAACATTCTATTAAAATAAAAGTAGGAATTGGTAAACCTATAAAGATTTTCTAATTTGGGTTAGGAATCTATTTCAAAAGTGAAAGCATATTTGAATTTTAGGCGTAAAATAAAGAAACAACAATTTTTTTTTTACTTATTTGGCTAAACTAAACATATTTACTTGTGAAAATATATATACTTTATGTTGGTTCTAATTTTTAATTTCATTTTTAATTATTTACTTATTTGAAGCTTACTAATTTATTAATAGGTGTCAAATTAATTAGTAAACTAATTTGCATATTTGTTTCTATTTAATTCGGTGTAGTAAACTAATACTCCCTCCGTCCCTTAAAATCCTTTCCACTTTCTTTTTTGGACCGTTCCAAAAAATTCTTCCCATTTACCATTTTTGGACAATTTGTGTGGTTCACATTCATTTCACATTTTTCTTACATAACCACAACCATACATTTCCACTTTCTTAATATGCGTGCCAAGTCAAACTGGGAAGGATTTTCAGGGACGGAGGGAGTATAAATTAGTTTCCATATCAATAAACGTTATTAGAATTTCACTTTGATAACAAAAAATTATTTTACTTATTTGAAGCTTACCAAATTAATTAAGGTGGATTTATAAGGATTTTTGTTTCCATATCAACATGCAATCAAAAATAGAATCTAATAAAAACAAAAGGTATAAAAATAAGTAAATAATTGTTATATATAATGACATGATGAAATTATGTGACATTTTGTATGCTCTTAAAAAGTTCCTCTTTTATATAGATATATATTGATTATGCAATGATATTTTTAAAGATTTTTACATTTATCCCTTTTAAACATATACGGACATTGTGTAAATGGATTTCGCAAGTGATATGCATGTAACGGGCATGGGTGGGAAGTCCTCGGGCAGAGCAGGGGTCAGCCGACCCCGCTGAAAGTTTGAGAGTATAGAGCTCTGAAATCTCTTCGATTTGATAGATTATGGCCCCGTAACTCATTACGAGTAAATAGTTATAACTTCTTGAAAATCAACACTCTTTAAAAATCTAAATGTAAAATCAACAAAATTTGATGTGCTACATATTATTTTCCCAAATTTTAAAAATATGGTATAATTCACTCAATACTTACATGAGACGACTTAGAAACAGAACAAAAATAATCTATCTTGTTGCTACGAGTGTCTATTTATCTAAACTGCATATGAAATATTCAACTCAGACATTGTTTAAAGACGATCCACCATTTTTATTTTGTATATAGGTTGAGTTTCGACCATCTGAGCCGTTTTTCTGGCTCCTTCACTGGCGGGAACAGTTACTTGCCCGCAGGTTGTGTTTATGTATATATATAGATATAGATTATATTTTGGAAGAATAGATATAGATTTAAAAAATTATATTTTTAAATTTTTTTGAGAACTAATGAAAATGATGTTATGTACTTGAAATTAAATTTATGTTGGTAGTACAAATATCATCTAATATGGAAGGAGAATATTTAGTAAGACAATAAATAAAAAATGGACTGAAGAAAAAAGTAAAGACTTCATTTTTCGAAATATGTTCCTAAACCCATTATAGTACGGAGTATATGTTAATGATAATGTCAACATCTTTTAGTGAGATGCCATTCGAACTTGTGACCTCCAAGACACTTGACACGATAAAAACTTATCAGGTATTATTTTTCGTAAATTATTTATACAATACAATAATAAAAAGGGAAAATGGTCCGATAGGATCTCGAACTTACAAAAAAATGTCAAATATTGTCTTATATAGGAGGTTCTGTCCGGCCGACGCCATTTGGGGTGGTTTCCGGTGGAATTTTTCAATGAAACTTTTTGAGCATTTTATTCATTAAGTCTAGTTTACTCATACCAAATATCAGCTAAAACTTCAATCCGGAAGGCATTCAAATAAAATTTTGAAGGTAACTGTGCACTTATCTTCAAGAATTTATTTGAATGCCTTCACGATTGAAGTTTCATCGAAAATTGGTATGAGTAAACTAGACTTAATGGATCAGATGCTCACATTGTTTCATCGAAAAATTCCACCGAGAATCGCCCCAAATGGCGTCGGCCGGACAGAACCTCCTATAGAAGGTCTTATTTGACATTTTTGTGTAACTTCGAAGCCCTATATGACCCTTTTGTCTAATAAAAATAATGTATTCAAAGAGAGTATTTGTAAATAAAGCAAAAGTTAAACTATTGCAAATAATCGTGCAAGTAGTATTTTATGATAATACGATTAAGAAAAATGATATATTCTTTCTCTTAATTTTATTATCTTAGCATAATAATTTGAGTTTTCATAATTAGCATTATAATAATTTTATTATCTTAGCATAAGAGTTTTCACAATTAGAAAATACTTGATAAAAGTATTTAGATGGGTCTTCATAAGGGTATTCCGACGATTCTTCAGAAGAGTCTTCAAAAGAGTCTTATGAAAAGTCTTCATAAGGGTATTCCAACAATTCTTTAGAAGAGTCTTCTGAAAAGTCTTCTGAAAAGTCTTCATATCTAGAATGACTGGAAAGGTGCAAACAAGACAAGAGATAATTAAATCATTATCACAAAATCTCAAATCTTTAGAAATAAAGGTAATTATAAATTCCCAACCGCGGGGTGAATGGAATCCGATACATAAATCAGTTAATAAGAGAATGCAAAATACTTTGATTGTGTCGCTTAAGTTATATAAGAATTCCTGAGCCCAAGAGTTCAGAAGACTTAGGTTTTCATTACGCAAAATAGCAGAAACACTTAGAATAAAAAAACAGATTAGATTTGTCGCTAAACGAAAAATAAGATGGATACCACTACCTTTTTGTATCTTTATTAATTGAATTGCTTTGTATGGATTCCTATAATAAATTCTAGTGGGTGTGTCTCCACGTCTTTTTTAACTATTTCGTCCAATAATAGAAATTCCTCGAATTCAATAAATTTTTCCAGAACTCTTTTCATTAATATTATTGAAGAAACTTTCGGATTGCCTAGTAGTCCACCAATTAGTAATCCAAGATCCCAGACATTTATTCAATAAGAAATAAATTCACCGGGGCAAAAAGACTACAAATGCAAGATATAAAA